TTTGATTTAAAGCTTGAAATCAACCCCTTGGTGGATTTGGAGGTCATCCATGGTAAGATATCCTCACTTCCATCAAGTTTTATGGAATCACATTTCTAGGTTTTCATTTGACTATTGTGGCTTGGATGCTGATGTTAGAGCATGAATTAAGCTTGATGGTAGTTGGAAAAAAAGCTTAAGACATAATTTAAACGGTAGAAATGTCATTAGGTCACCACTTTGGTACACAATATTATTTTAGAAAAATGCATGCCCAAGTGTAGTGATTTCTTGGATTCAAAGTAAAGGATATTTGAGTGTTTGATGTTGGTATTGATTGTGTCTATGTTGTGGATAGGATTGAAGAAAGTGGATCATCTTTGATTGATCAAGAATCCGTTGAACCTATGGAACTTGATTTGGTTGTTTGAGTTAAACCAAGTGTAGCTGAGTTCTTCACCTTGTGTATGGTGTTGGATTGCCAATGTTATTGATGAATATAGAGATATTCATTGATTCATGTGATTGATTACATTACACCTTTGCATAGGTATTTATTTTGTGAGATTGGGGCTTTGAGAATAAGCTTGTTGATTGCATTCTTGGTGGTGATACAAAGGTTGGTTCAAAACTATTGAGGTAAGCCTTCAGACCTTAGGATTTATCCCTGTATTGTTTCACCAAGCCCTAATGGGATAATGATTATTGTTGGTGTATGTAATTGCAATAGATAGTAGTTTAATGCATTGATATATGTTTGTATATGTTCTAGGTGTGACATAGGATGGTGTTTCCCTATATTTGTATGTTGTATGACGATGCGTAATTCATACTTGGTAGATTCTCTGGCCAGTAGGACTATTTTAAATCTGAGAATCTTGAGGATGGCGAGAGTTCCAGAGGAATGTCTTATGGAGATGTTTTACACACTGCATGGATATGTACATATGTATTATTTACTGTTATTGCTGTTATACTTTAAGTGTACTATAGGGTGGAAAAATCCTTCAAGGACCCTGGTTTACTGAGATGTTTATCTTATCCCGTGCTGTGAGGACCCCCTTTCAGGTACTAGCATGGATGGTGCAGGTTGGACCCGGGGCAAGAGGCACGAGTAGACTGACATATAATAGCATGTGATATGTGATTATTTTGATGTACCTCACATGTATTTCTATTTTGATGTATCTTATGCTTATTGATAGAAAAATATGTATAAAATGGACATTTGGTAGTTTATGTTGTATTTAACTACACATTATTTATTTTGTGGGACTTAGACTATGATCATAGTCATTTTGCATCCTTTGTGGATGAATGGAACAAAATAACCTTGATCACGTGTTTTGTTAAGTTTAAGTCCTAGAACTTTGATTATTATGTGATCTTAATTGCATATATGTGATGTAAGGGCCATGGTTCCTATTTGCATGTTTAAGACCCATAGAATAGTTAAGGGAGCATAATTGGACTAGTTGTATGGTTGGTTTTATGCATGAAGAGTCTTAGATCCTAAAATGCTAAGTTAAAGGTTGGTAACTTGAGTAAGAAGTAAACTACTAGGGTTAGCCTAGTGGCGTGGGGTGTGTGTTAGGTGCATGTAGTGTAGTGGTGAGTGTCATTTCCCATGTAATGCGAAAAAAAAAACCTTGAGTAAGAAGTAATCAATAATGAGTTAACTTATGCCTAAAGAAATGAGCACAATTATATGATATGAATTGGGCTGTAAGAGCACCCTAGTTTGTTGGGCTATGGGTTGTCATTCCATGCTTCAATTAGGTACAAAAATGGGCAAAGTGTTCCCTAGATTGAACCAAGAATCAAATAGAACCTTTCAAGTTCTGGGTTTGCTCGTTGGAGATCTTGCTTGAGCTAGGGGTCCAGGGAGCTAATAAAAACCTTGGCAGTAGCCAAGTTTGAAATAGGGGAACCCTCCCTGGCATGCTCACTTCAGCGAGCTATTGTGTGAAAATAGAGTGTGCTCGCTCTCATGCTCGCTTGAGCGAAGGAGTGAGCGAGGAGGCAGAGCCCCTGGGCAGTGACTTCTGTCTCGAAATTAATTGTCTCGCTATCATACTCGCTTGAGCGAGCAAACACCATAAGCTTGCTGAGATGCTCGCTTCAGCGAGGGACTCAGGTAGCACTGTAACACCTGGAATAATAAAAATTAAGTCTGTGAGGGGTATGGGACCCTTACAGTAGTGTCTGAAAGAAGTAGTATTATATGTTTAAGCTAGGTGTAACTATTCCGCAAGGTACATTGTTATAATTGCAGTTTTGGGTTTAATTTAAATTACGTTATTGATTTAATCAGAAACAAACTATATTTAAAAAAAGTTTTACTGTGGAAAATTGTCCGTCTAATAAACCATTAGTAACAAGATGTAAAGAGACTTGTGGGTCAAGATCTCTTGCCAGTAACGCTTCATAAAAAAATCTGTTGAGAAAATCTTGCAAGGTTTCTTTAGCACCTTGCTTCACAGTTTTCAACACGTGTATAGATTTGTATTGAGTTTTAATAGTTGCAAATCTCACCAAGAACTGGTTGGCGAGATCTTCCTAATTATTGATTGAGTTGGGTGGAAGAGCTGAATACTACCTCAAAGCAACTTCTTTCAATGTGGCTGGGAAGGGACGACAACCTATGGCATCAGGAATGTCCTGAGCAATCATATTTGTCTGGAATTGGTCCAGATGTTCTTGGGGGTCACCATTTCCATTGTATTTTTCCGTAGTGATTTTTATATCCCTCGAAATAAGCAAGTCTATAATTTGTATGGTAAAAGGATGAGCCATTTTTGAAACTATATTTGAATTCTGGTGGGAGTTTTAATCTGCATGATGGTTAGCCTCATGGCTAACATGAGGTTGATGATTTTCAACCTTTTGCTTACCTTTGCTTTGTGAAGGACCAGGGCCTTTTGTGAGTGTTCTATTCCATGCTCATTTTCATCAAATTTTTCATTATTTGATTTTCATGCTCAGCAAGTGATTTTTTCAGCTTTTGTAACTCTTTTTGTTGTTCCTCTATTCTTTGATTTTGTTGTGTAAGGAGCTCCAGGAGTTGTTGATTTGTTGGTGGATTATCTTGCTGACGAGAGAATGGAGCTACGGAGGAGGTAGCTCTCTGGCGAGATACCTGGCCTCCCTTCTTTTTCCCTCTAGAAGCATTCTGGGATTTGGTCATCTTGCTCCTGGTATCAATCATGTTTTCTATTTGTATAGAGTGAGAGTCAAAAAATTTCAGTTCCCACAACTGGTGCCAATGATCAGTAACTCAAATTGAGTTAGGCATAATCACACATAGTTGAAGTGAAGGATGTTGGTGAAGAGAAGGTGAGATACATGTATTGTTGTCGAAATGCTAGGATGCTTGGCGAGACTTTTGCCTATTAGAGCAATTTGGAAGCGACCCCCCTTAGGGGGGTGGTAATTGCGAAGCTCAAATCAATTCAGTATTCAAGTATTCAAAGAGAGATATGTACCTGGACTAAATGTCTCTGTATTTATAGCACTTGAGTGTCTTGTTTCATACCGTCTTTCACAGGACGGTGTTCATTTTCATTGGTGAAGAAAGGTGACATCTCTCAGGCTATTCCTTGGTTGGCAAGCCTATGTAATAGATGTGGTGGCAAGCATCGCTTTTAATTCAATGGGTTCAGGTAGTGGCCAACTTGCCTAAATTGCTGATCTCGACAATGATGGTTTCATTTATGCTAAGTCATGTATCCATGCTTTCTATGTAGGATTGGTTGCCTTTGTGGCCAAGTCACGGGGGTACTTTCTAGGCCTTTTGGGCTTGGGCCTTTATCTTACAAGTAGCATATCCATATGAGAATTATGTCGATAAATACATTTATAGGATTGAAAACATTATAACAAAACCTAACAATTTACTTAAATGTAATTTGTTTTTGGATTATTAAATTAAATCAATTTGTTTTTCCTTTTTTCTAATTTTTTCTTCATACATATAAATTAATGGTAGCGTTGACGGGATGATCTACTACCAATGGGAGCGTTGAAGAAACCTCACAAGGAGCATTTACAGGGAAGAGAAAGGGGATATAAGATTCAAACTTGCATACTTCATTACATATTCCACAACGAATACTTGTATTGATAATAAAAATTTAGGAGCATTAAATGAAACATAAATATCTATTTTTGGTAGAATAAATTTTTTACATAGAATTGTATTGATAAATCCTCTACAGGACTAAAAGCTTTAAATGAATACTTAACAATTACATTATAATAAAATTTCATTAACTAACTAAATTAATTAACTAACAATTACATTATAAGATTCAAACTTGCATACTCCATTCATAATTTTAATGTATACTTTCAGCAGAGGTGAAAATAAAATTGATAGAATATAATTTATTTTTCTTCCAACAATATTCTGCTAACTAATGAATTTCAAAATCAAAAAGAATCATACACTTAAAGTACTACATATTTAAAGCACCACCACACATTGATAAATATAAGTTATTATTAAGAAACTAATTCAAGTTGTTATATTTTTATAAAAAAAAATATTTAACTTCGTGTTGTTATAGTGCTAATTTCACTAGAAAATATCTAAGAGAAAATTGACATGGTATGATCACGACACGTAAGATCCTCAATTTCACTAGAAATATAAAACTTCTTTTACAGCTTCATTTACAATTATCTCACATGTAAACGAAGTTAAGAAAACCCTACTTACATATTTCATTAGTAACAAGATGTACATTAATTTTTATCTAATAATACTTATCTAGTAATGAAAATCATTTCATCAAGAGAAAAAAGGATACGATACACGAAATCATTAGGACCCGGTCAAGCATGAGAGTTTCTACTTCAAATCTTAGATAATCTTATTGCACATATTCCATCTAACAAAATTATTTTTATTTAAATTATATTTTTTTCTTTTTTCATTCAGTTCTTAGTTAACTCGGAAAAACACTAGTTTAAGTGTCATTAGAAAGACTCGTCTCAAATTCCCAAGCCAATCTTAAGACTACAGTGGCAAGAATTCACTGATTTACATGCCAAATAAAGATCTCAATTTGGTCAAAACCCCAAATAACCTCAAGGTATGCAACAAAATTTAGATGCTGATTTATGACAAAACGAAAGAAGGAAGCGTAAGAGGACTAACGTTTCTTTCTTCCCTGCAAGAATTCACTGATTTACATGCTTGAAAAGTATATCAGGCAAAACGGTCACTGCCACCAGCACCAGCACCAGCACTAGCATAATTATCACTGCCACCAAATCCAGCAGAACTTTCATGATTATCACTCTGGCCAGCACCAGCACCAGCACCAGCACCGTAGCTACCATAACCTCCATCACTAGGAGCACTACCATAGTTAACATTATCACTTCCTCCAACACCAACACCATAGTTCCCACTGTTACCACCATAACCTCCACCGGTTCCATTATTGTAAGTGTTTCCACTAGAAAAGCTACCATCATTCCCATAATTCATTCCACTTCCACCATAACCGCCACCAGCACTTCTAGTGCTGTCATCAGCACCATAGTTATTGCCAGAGCTGCTGCCCACGAAGTTGCCACCTGATCCATAGCCACCTCCACCATATCCACTGCTACCATAACCTCCAGCAACATTGCCACCAGCACTTATAGTACTGTCAACAGCACCATAGTTGCCAGAGCTGCTGCCCCCAAAACTGCCACCTGATCCATAGCCGCCGCCACCATATCCACTACTACCATAACCTCCACCAACATTGCCACCATAGGCACCAGCATCACCATACCCACCACCACCACTTGAAGCAGCACCATATGCAGAGTTACCATATCCACCTGGATATCCACTGCCAGCTCCAGCACCATAGGATCCATCAAAACCACCCCCACCAAATCCACGGGGTCTCTCACTAGCAAAATTTACCTTAACCCGGCGACCATGCAGATCCTGAAAAAAAACTTACACTCAGAAAGAAGTAAACATAAGAAAGGTAACAGCGATATTGTTAGTCATTATATCTATAAGAAAAAATAATAACAAGAAAGGTAACCATGCTTTTGTCAGTCATTACAGGGGACAGTTATATTGCCTACCTATTTATTCTTCCCAACCTTACTATCTTTTTATCACTGTTGATTATATTTAAATCAACGGTCATAAATAATTGGTATAATTAGTTGAGAAAAATAAGGAAGAAATAAATAAAATAAGAAATATTATTATATTTGAAACCGTTGATTTAAATATAATCAACGGTGATAAAAAAAGGTAGTAAGGGTAGGAAGATTAAATAAGGAGGCAATACAACCATCCCCGTCATTATATAGGCAAAGTTAAATTAACAGAAGTATCAATGAAGGATTGAAAAGTATGAAACTACAAGATAATAGCCATCACTAGTACAGTTAAAAACTACCTTATGTCATAGATAAGTTACTGAAAATACAAATAAAATACAACAGGTAGATGTATTATAACTTATAAGTGCCTGACAATGACAATTTTGAACTGGATGTGGCCATTAAATGAAGGAAAATCAATAGCAGGTAACTGCCAGGATGATGTTCTCTCTTTATATGGGTTTTGCAACGATTAACTATTTTATAATATTCTACCTTAAAGGTTGAAATAATGAGACACCTATTTTCTTAATAACTGCATTCAGGATCCATACTAACTGTGACAGTCACTCTGCCAGTCACGTAAATAAGTGATAATCTGAGAGTAAACATAATCAAAAACCTTGATACGTTAATAAACAACAAATGCATTTCTAAGGACATGGGACTAAAAAGCAACATTTCAAACTCTCAACCAATTCAAACACAAAAACACTGACTGTCAAACAAGTACACAAAACTTACACCAAAGCGCAGCACAGCTCCACAAATTAATGGCTTACACATGTAATTTCAGCATACGTATATGTATGTATGATCATTCTGCAGTACTGCCATTGTTAATAATGAAATTATACTTAGTATTTTTTCATTACCTGTCCATCCAAGGCCTGAATGGCACTTGATGCCTCCTCAACTGTACCGAAAGTAATAAAGCCAAATCCTCTGGACCTACCAGTTTCACGATCCATAATTATCCTTGCTACAAAAAGCATGAGATTAAACAGCAATTAATACTGACTTGAATTGACATAAATGATTTCAACAGAATTTCATTGGAACACCCCCAAAAAAAGAGTGTATAGAAGGCAAGAGAAAGGAGAGAATCTGACTGATACCATCAACAACTTCGCCATATTTGGAAAATGCTTCCCTCAAACTTTGCTCATCCGTAGTATATGAAACACCTGCAACAGATAAATGTACATATATTCATTCTTAATCATCATTATCAACCAAAGAAGAAAAAATATAAATAATCCACTTCATGGATACAACATAGAGTAGAAAGTAGTTCAAACACACCTCCTATAAACAGCTTTGAGCTTGGAGCACTTGAAAAACACCGTATAGCTTGGAAAACAGAAGGGAATGAACATAACTCTGAACTGATCTTCCTATTCGTTGCTTGCCTTAGTATATTCCCAACTCTACCAAAGAAAGCCATTCCTGCAACCTGAGGTAAACCATAAGCACAGAAGCTGTACATCACATTCAAAATACAATATATAAATCAAATTCGAATAATTAATCTATAACTCAAACATCAATACACCAAATTCTCCACACAACCCTGAAGGAAAAATTAAAAAAAAAAAAAAAAACACTAACAAATTATTTAAGCTTTTCATCTTGGTCGTGACCCAAACAAAAAAAAATTGATTTCCTAGTTTTTGCATCGAACAAGAACATAAAATTTAAAGCCGTCGACAATTAAAACTTCATTACCAATAAAACATTCAATTTCACATGCTACCATTAATAAGAGTCTTCTGCTCACCAAAAAAAATAGAAAAAAGTGTTTGTCATTTTAAATGACATAAACTTACGTCATTTTATTATAAAAACAGACACATAATCTTATTTTTTTATTTAAAATTTAAATTAAAAAAAATCACTCACTTTCTCTCTCCCATGATTTTCATTTTCTATGTCTATCTCTCTCCTAAAATGATATAACTTATGTCATTTAAGACGAGGAACATCAGACTCAAAAACTTATAATATATATATATATATATTCCAGCATTCTCATCCACATTTTCTTCTGGTGATTCAGGACTGAGAAAGAGTTCTTATTATCACACGAAAAAGTAAAATAATTGGAAATTTATTACATCAGTATATCACATTTGGATCATATAATGAATCGGAAGCGAAAGAATGAAACACAAAGCAAATGCAGAAAAGCAGAGAAAGAAAGAGGAAAAGATTTGAAGCATGACGAACAATATTGATAAGCGGTTGTTCGAAGAGGAAGTACCTTCGCTTTCTTCTCTGTTGGATTCTCTTCTCTTTCTTCACTTCTCTTTTGTGCTAAAACCCTAGCGAGGTTTAGAAATGGGTTTATGCATACGTGGATAGCTTGAATAGCGGGGAAAAGATAGCCCTTGGATGCAAAGTGGGGAAAGGACAGCCCTTGGATGCATGCTCTTACGCTGTCGTTTTATAGGTCATTTTCATTTTTTTTCTCCCATCATATACGCTGTCGTTTTACAATCAGGTTAATTTTTTAATCTCCCCCATTTATGAAGTACCGATGCCACGTTTATGAAATTTTCTTTCATGAAAATATCCACAACTCTTAATTTAGTTTTTGGTTTAAAGCGGTAATTAAAAACTCGATCAGGCCGGCAAAATTAATTTAATATTTTTTAATAAATTAATTATGCAATTTATTGCATAATATGACGTTCAATTTGGGCGTCACTCAAGAGGCAATCACGTCTAATTTAGATGTCACTCATCAGGTGTTGACAGTGTCGTATTTTTTTTCGAAAAAAAATAATTTAATCATAAAACTTTTGAAGGTCATTACTTTTGACTCGGGTATCCAAATTAGGTAATTCTTTTTTTGATTCCACATAACTTTTCGAGATCTACGCAATGACATCTCATTCGATATGTTTTATTTCTCACAAACATAATTTAAATTTAAATTAGGTAATCCTTCTTCTTTAGAGATTTAGAATATTTACTTAATTATTTCCTTTATTAATATAGATTTTTCAAATTGATTTTTGAGAATCTTTATTTTGTTTTCCTTATTAAATAGTAATTGTTATTTTTTTAATTTAAATCACACATCAAATCTTGATTTATTTTTTATATTAAATCACAAACCCAGAACTCAGAGGCTTCTGAGTTTAAAAATGTGAAACCTGTCAACACCTGACACGTCACCAATGACGTCTAAATTGGGTTTCAATCAAGAGGCAATTACGCCTAATTTAGGTAATTTTATTTTTGAAAAACATTCATAAGCCATAATTAATTTCAGACCACAGATAATAACCCAGAAGCTTATAGCATTAATCATTAATTTCAAAAATAATATCCTTCTTCCTTAGAGATTTAGAATATTTATTTAATTATTTCCTTTTTTTCTACAGATTTTTCAAATTGATTTTTTAGTTTAAATCACAAATCAAATATTTATTTTGTTTTCCTTATTAATAATAATTTTTAATTTTATTTTTAATTTAAATCACAAACCAAACTTTTTGTTATAATAAAAAAAATTATTATAAAAAAAATTTAAATCACAAATCAAAATTTTATTTATTTTTTTATTTTAAAGCACAAATCTAGAACTCAGAGGCTTCTAGGTTTAACCGCTCGTATAATATCATTCTTGCAAATTTAAATTGTGTTTGTGAGAAATAAAATATGTCAAATGAGATGTCATTACGTAGATCTCGAAATGTTATGTGTAATAAAAAAAAAATTACCTGATTTGGATTGGATAACCGAGTCAAAAGTTATGGCCTTCAGAAGTTTTATAATTAAATTATTACTTTTTTGGAAAAAAAAACATGACACGTGTCAACACGTGATGAGTGACGCCTAAATTAGGCGTGATTGCCTCTTGAGTGACGCCCAATTTAGGCGTCTTTAGTGACGCCCAAATTGGGCGTCATATTGTGTAATAAGTATGTAATTATTTCTCAAACTCTAATAAATGCGTAATTAATTTATTAAAATGCATTAACTTAATTTGTTTGCCCGGTCCGGCCTTCGACTTGTTCGAGGTTAGGGTCACGACCTCACGAGTTCAATCGGGGGGTCAAATATAAATATATAACCTATGGGAAAAGTGTTTATCAATTACACAACTTACATCATTTTACTCTCACAAAGAGGTGGGACCCACATCTTTATTTTTTTTGTCAACTCTCTCTCCTCCTTTATTTATTTCTTTCTCTGTCTTAAAATGACACAATTTTACATCCTTTAAAATTATACACACTTTTCCCATAATCTATATGAAAAATTCAAAAAAATCAAACCATCAATAATCAAATATTCAAAATATATATAACATGATTTAACCAATTAATCCACAAGTCAATATTACACAAGCTAATCAAAGTATAAAACACATTCCAATAAATTTAATAAAAAGTTATATCTAATGGAGAGGTGACGACGCGACGAATCAATGGTGGGGAAAGAAAAACCAGCATGACGAAGGAGTGGGAGAGAGAAGACCGAAGAGGATAGGAGGAATCACTACCATGGCAGAGGAGAGGCGGATAGATCACCGGATTAGGAAAACTGGATCTGGGTCTAGGAGATAATATCAGAAAAGAAGAACGATTCGGATTTCAAATCTAGTTCTAAATTTAAGCAAAAACGAGTTTTTATTTTTGTTTTTTAACATATCAAACTATGTTGTTTTGTGTGTAAATTAAAAAAAAATGCAGTGACCCCCTGACCTGGGAGTCACCAAGACCCAGCTGGATTTTGGGAGTCAGAAAAATCAACATGCATGCAGGGTCTAATTGCTGACCCCAACCCTTAGAGAGAGGGGGTCAATGACCCGACGGAATCGACATTGGGATGAGGCGAAGTTTTAAAACATTGGTTTAAAGTAAGCGGATGGTTAGCTCCTTACTAATTTTTCTATTTACTAAGATTCAAAGGAGACATCCAATAGGATGTTACAAAAATAGGTCCAACATGCAGAACTAGATTCATAGCAAATTAAATTTGGCTCTTTGGGATAAATGAAGAATCTCCTTCGGGAATATATATGCATACTCATTAATTACAGGATTGTTCACCACATTCATTTTTGCTTTTAATTCTAAGCTACTGAAAAGTTTGTAGCCATGAGAACCTTTAGATATAGCATTACTAACTTGGGATATAGAAAGGAAAGCAGAAAAGTTAGAGTTGTTATTACCAGAAGCAATGAGGACGTTATTGCTACAACAATCTATCAAAACACAATTCCAAAATAACTCGTCAATGCCAATTATAACATCTAAGCCCAACATTGGCAAGCACAAAATCAATTTCATGGACTCGATTTTAGAACTCAAAAGGGCATTTCAAGCATATAAGGGATGTCACAAACTTCCTCCCGTGGGGTAGTCAACTCCAAGTCATGGGGGTGGTGGAGAAAGATAATCCTAGCTTTTAAGCACTAGATATAGAGATGAAGGAGCATGTGGTCCTCAAGTCAAATTATACAACCATTGAAAAATTATTTATTAAACCTAGGCGCTTCTTGACTACTAATTAAATTAAATTTAAAATTTATAATAAAATTAAGTCAAAATTTAAATTTAAAATTTCTAACAAAATTATACAAGAGTATATATAAACTTGGCCCCAAACTTAAGGCCGGGTAGTGGGCTGAGCATTAAATATCTGTGCAGACACTCTTGTGGCATATGAACTTTTTTTCAATTATTGTAAAATTGACAAAGAACAAGGAAAATAGAATCAATCATGAATATGATGAAGTATGAAAATATTTGTATTGGAACATGATGCTCCGCAACTCCGGGATGAAATGTTTTAACCAGAACATCTCTAACTATCGGTGCTTGATTAAACATTTTATTTTCTAATTGTATTATTCCAATATATTTGGTATGACTGAGACTGCAAATCGTGTAGCTTCTGACACTACAAGTTCCTCCCTCTTGATCCCCATAATATTTGCTTGGGTTAAATATTGTTTAGAAGTCTTTTTCAAAATTTCATTTTACACAAATGAAACTTGGATGGAGAAACCTCCATATTTTTATGGTTAGTTGTAATTAAATTATCATCAAGTTAGGGTCTAATATTTAATTCTAATAACCAACTTTTTAATTTGGATTGTAATTGCCCACAAGAACTGTAACTCTTGGTTCATACCAAAAATAATGTGTGAAAGCAAATGCAAGGAAATTATAGTGGAACAATTGATATGACAACATGTTCTTTGATTTGATGATAATTATTAAGACTAATAAAAAATACTAATTATTATAAATATTTTTGAGAGAGGGGCTAACTTTAAGTACTACTAATAATAGTTTATTATTATTAAAAATATTATTTTATACGTAAAATAAAAAATATTAAAATTTAAAGAGGGGCGACCACCAATGTAAGCCCTTCCCCGGGTCAGCCCTTGCATTCAGTATAACACCCTCAATAATATTAAAAAGAGAGAGAGTGCGAGACAAATAAATTTAATATACTACAGAAGAAAGAATATGTAAATAAATAAACAAGTATAATAAATAGAAAATCTGAATTGTCTATAGAGAAGAAAAAATTAGAAATAATAAATAAATAAATAATCAAATCTGATGCTTCTTTTTCTGGATTTGTTGAGTTAGCTTCCAAGCAGCGGCCAGATATAAGCGATCTGTGATAAGGAGATCTTTTGAACTCTGAGATTTAGGTTCTAAGGAGAGCTGACATTCAAAACAAGAATGTGGTGGACGAAAAGTTGGCGACTAATTGGGAATGCCCTTATAGAATAGCAGCATGCATACAAGAGCCTATCAACTTGAGCATTTAGATGGGAAAGCTATCCCAAGGCATTGGAATACAACTAAATTGAAGAGATATTTCAGATAAGCTTCCAAAGACAAGGAACTAGGTTAGATTTATGATTTTATTTCTAGGAATGCTATTATGATTTTATTTGTTATCTGGACTTTACTTAGGTAGTATTTATGTTCGAAGTTTTGTTAATTTGCAATTTTGAAGTTTAATCAAATAATACCAGCGAGTTCTGACAAAATAAGTTCAAGTATGCGATGAATAACAAGCAAGTCCCTTGATGCCAGAAATGGACTTTTGGGCACCCATTCAATTCTTACTCGGAAGCGGGAAAACAAGTCCATAGACTCCAGAAATGGACTCTTGGGCACCCGTTTAATTCCTACTCGGAAGCGGGAAAGCAAGGAAAATTCCTACTCTAAAGCGGGAAAGCAAGTCCCTTGACGCCATAAATGAACTCTTGGGCACCCGTTCAATTCCTACTCAAAAGCGAGAAAGCAAGTCCCTTGATGGCAGAAATGAACTT